CTCTGCCTGCCATGTACCTGCCTGCCAGCCTGCATCCTACCTCGCCTGCATTTCACCTCGCTGTTTTATGTTATCTCGTCATCCCTGGGGTGCAAACTGCGAAGCTGTCGCCACCTTCGAGGGCTGCTAGGGGGAGGCAGCGGAGTGGGGCCCCGCCGCAGATTCAGACTAGACATCAACGTCCCTACGATCTGCGAAACTGCCGCCACCCTTAAAAAATGCTGAAGGGTCCAGCGGAGTTACGTCTTACGCAGACTCAGATTAAACCTCGGCCGCCCCTGACAGCCCCTGAGGGGCCGCGATATGCGAAACGGTCGCCAGCTTTGAGAACTGCTGAGGGGTCCAGCGGAGTGACGTCTTGCGCAGACTCAGTATTAAGACCTCGCCATGCCTGGGGGTCTGCGATCTGCGAAACCGTCGCAACCTTCGAGGGCTGTTGGGGGAACTGGTGGACAGACGTCTCACGCAGACTCAAATTAAGACCTCGCCATCCCTGGGAGGACTGCGATCTGCGAAACGACTGCCACCTACGAGCGCTGATGGGGGATCCAACGGGGTGCCGTCTAACGCAGACTCAGCTGAATTCTCGCCATCCTTGGGGACTTTCATCTACGGATCAGCCGCCAATTGTGAGAGTTGCTGGGGGGTCCAGCGGAATGACGTCTTGCGCAGATTCAGATCAAGTCCTTGCCGTCCCTGGGGGGCTGCGATCCAAAGACCCGTCGCCCTTTTCGAAGGCTGATGGGGGGTCCAGCGGAGTGACGTCTTACGCAAACTCAGACTCAACCTCGCCACCCATGACGGGCTTAGATATGCGAAGCGGTCGCCAGTTTTGAAGGTTGTTGGGGGTCCAGCGGAGTGACGTCTTGCGCAGACTGAGTATTACGACCTCGCCATCCGTGGGGGTCTGCGATCTGCGAAAGCGTCATTTCGAAGGCTGCTGAGGGGGTCCAGCGGAGTTGCGTCTTACGCAGACTCAGATGGCAACGTCGCCATCCCTGGGGAGCTGCGATCTGCCAGGCTGTCGCCAGTTCTGAGAGCTGCTGGTGGGTCCTGGGGACTGACGTATTACGAAGACTCAGATTAAGACCTCGCCATCCCTGGGGGAATGCGATCTGCGAAACTGTCGCCAGTTCTGAGAGCTGCTGGGGTGTCCAGCGGGATGGCGTCTTACGCAATACCATATTCGACCTCGCCATCCCTGGGGAATGCGATCTGCGAAACTGTCGCCACTTTCGAAGGTTGTTTGGGTGGTCCAGCGGAATGACGTCTTGCGCAGACTCAGATTCCCAATTTCGAGGGTTGTTGGGGGGATCCAGCGGAATGACGTTTTGCGCAAACTCAGATTCGACCTTGCCGTGCCTGGGGGTCTGTCAAATGTCAATTTGCCGTCACTTTCGAAGGCTGGTGTGGGTCCAGCCGGGCGGAGTCTTGCGCAGACCCAGACTAAACGTCCCCATCACCTGGGGGACTACTATATGCGAAACGGGCGCCACATTTGAAGGCTTCTGGGGGGTCCGGCGGATTGACGCCCTGCGCAGGCTCCAGATCGACCTCGCCATCCCTGGAGGGCTGTGGTCTGCGAGACAGTCGCCTCGTTCGAGGGCTGCTGGGGGTCCCGCGGAGTGGGGCCTCACGCGGGTTGACATTAAACCTCGCATACCCTGGGGGGCTGCGACATGCGAGACTGTCGCATATTTCGAGGGCTGCTGGGGGGCCAGCGGAAAGGGGGCCAACGCGGATTGCGACTTGACCCCGCCAGCCCGGCAGCAACCGAGCTCGGTCAGGATCAACTCGGCCAGCGCTCAACTCGGCCTGGATCGACTCGGCCAGGTTCCACTCGGCCAGGCTCAACTCGGCCTCATCTCGGCCAGGCTCAACTCGGCCAGGCTCAACTCGGCCGAGCTCAACTCGGCCAGATCAACTCGGCCGAGGCTCTGGCTGCAGCGGGGCGCCTGGATTATCTCGGCCAGATCATCTCGGCTGGGGCCCTAGCTGGCGCTTCCAGGATTTACTGTGGGAGCTCTCTTGGGCTCTATTGGAACTCTTCTGGACCTTTTCTTGGAGCCCTCTTGGGGCCGGTCTGGCCCCGGAGCCCCCATCAGGCCCTTATCCTGGGTTTGGGCTAGCTATTCCGCGCTCGACGAAGAACTGGGCTGGCTGACGCGGGATCCAGGAGGGAAAGGGGAAGGAAGGAGGGATGCAGGAAGAGAGAGAGATAGACACAGGCATCTATAAACATATGGGTATGCACGTGACCATATACCTATACAAGCATACGTACATATACATATGTCTGCATACATATATATAGAGAGAGAGAGAGAGAAACAAACAAACACAGAGAAAACAACATACAAAAAGAAACAACAACAAACATGAACGTGGGACTGGCAGGGAGAGAGATAGAACGAGGCATGGGGGCAGACAGAGAGAGAGAGAGAGAGATTCTCTCTGTCTCTCTCTCTCTGTTTGGCAGAGAGAGAGAGAGAGAGAGAAAAAAAAAAAAAAGACACAGAGAGAGAGAGTGAGCGAGAGAGAGAGAGAGAAAACCCAAACAAGCACGAACCAACAATGCAGGGGTGTGACGGCGGAGCAGCAGGAGACGGGAAGCGGAGCAACCAGCAAGAACCTTGTCAGGGCTCAGCCCCCCGTGTGCCGATGGCGTTGAGGTCGGGGGGCAGGCCGCCGCGGGCCCTCCACAGTGCGCCACGGGAGGGCACCGAGGCGAGGCGTGCAGCACCACGCCCTGGCGCGGCGCGCCACAAGGAAGCGGAAGCGTGGGGGGGAGGGCTGAGCCCTGGAGGGGAGCACGACGAGTGTTCCAACGGGCCGAGCTGCACGTGAGGCCTGCGCCTGGAGGCACGCGCCCAGTCAGCAATGCGCGGAGATGTAGGAGCCGCCGAACGCCAGCCTGGCGCGCGAGGACATCCGGCTGTCGCAACAGGGCTCGCGAACAGTGCACGCTGCCGGGAAGCTGCCGCGCGCCCGACGCCCCAGGGCGCGCCGGCGGGCGCGCTACACTACGAGGCGAACTCCTGCGCTCTGCGCAGCGCGTCGTCGGGAAAGGCGAGAGGAGGCGGCTGAGGACACAGGCTTTGGGGCCGCCAGCCCGTTGGGGCGCGCTGGCCACACTCACGTGCGCTCTCGAAATGTGCTCGGCTTGAACAAGGCCTTACCCAATGAGCGATCTTGCCCACGGACTTCAACGACGTGCGGATACAAACGCTACGTCAGTTTCAACCTTGGCCGTACGCTGCCGTGCGAGCAAGAACATCCTACTCAAACTGCACCACCCCAGCTCTCACGAGTCAACTTAATAAAAGTGGTGCGCCAATGTGACAACACCAAAATCCCCTTGACGACTAAGAGGGGAATGCGACATAATCTCCCTCCATCCACGCTCGAATTTAAAGGCCGGTTCGATCTTGATGAAAACACCAACGGCTTTCACGGGATAGGGCACGCACCTGCAATCACAGAGCACGGAAAGCTCTGTACTGCGTACAAGAAATACGGCACGCAAGCTAGACGACAGTCCTGCTTATGTTTAAGGAAGGCGTCCTCGATGGGCAATGCTATATTAAGGTAGTTAAACAACTCAAAATCAAAACAGAAGAAGTGTCTCCGCAGGCCATCTGCGAATATCATCCCCACTTCTCCCTTCCCCCCAGCCTCCCTCTGGCTCCCTCCTCCGCTCTACGTTTAAAATGGCCGCTCACTCGAGATTTGATTCTGCAACCGCACGCTCGATGTGATCATGGCCACCCACAGCCAATCTCCCATTTGTAAGGGCCACGCCGTGGCGGCATCCCTCTGGAAGGCTACCTGCGTCCGTGTGGTCGCCATCTCCCAGCAGGCCTCCGATGGCAACACCTGCTAGCGTCAAGTGCTTCACATAAACATCCAAGTAATCCAATCCACTCCAGAACGACTTTAATTTCAATGAAATCCTCCTCCTCCTCCTCCTCCTCCTCCTCCACTCCAGAGGTGCGTCCATGAACGACTTTAATTTCAACCTTGCCCATAGCTACCCATTCCAGAGTATCGGCAGAAACTTGTCCCGAGACGGCGTAGTGGTATCCTCCATGGTGCTTGGTCTCTGCCCAAGACCCAGTAATTCGCCGGCCCCCCCGTGGGCGAAAGGATGCGAAAAGCCGTGCTGAACTGTTTGACTGTTTTCTGTGTTCTGCCTGTGGGTTCTTGCCAAAGGTCTCTCCAATCTTTCTCCTTCTCCTGTGTCCGCTCGGGGGCACGCGCCGCCGAAACAAAACCTACCCTCCCGGCAACTCTGGTCTGCCCAGGATCCCAACAGGCACTGAACTCTGCGGCCAGGAGGGCCCAGGAGGCCTCCAAGACGGCCACAGGAAGCCCAGAAGAGAGCCCCAAGAGCCCAAGACAACGGCAGACGGCCCCTTGCCCAGGGGGGGTCCACGACGTCCCCGAGGGCAAAGCACATTCAAAGTACAGGGCAGGTTATTAATACATGGGTTTAAAGCATAGAGGATTGTTATACACGATTAATTGTTGAGTGAATTAAAGCATGAACTAATCGTTGTTTTTAATACTAAATCCCTGCATTTTTGATACATGATCAGAACGCGGAGCATGTATGAAAAACGGCACTGTATACAGAGTGTTGCATGCGGCTTGCCTGTCCCACGTTATGCGCCTAGGATGCCCCCCAGGTCACACCAAGACTGCCCCCCAAGTGCCCCCGAAATCGCCCTACGGCCCAACGAGGCCCCGAGACTCCAGCCAGATCGCCCTGGATGACCCGACAAGGGCCCCCCCAGAACGGCCCCAAGAGGAGCCCAAGATGGCCCCTACGGTGGGCCCCGGAGGCCCCCAACACTGCCCCAACATTGCCCAAGATGGCCGAAGACGACCCCCAATGCCCCAGCGTTTTCCGAAATGCCCAGATGCCCGAAATGCCTAACGAAACCCGAAATGCCAAATGCCTAACGAAACCCGAAATGCCTAACGAAACCCGTTTGGCCTCAGATGCCAAACGATGCCCGAAATGCCCAGACCTGTTCCGGCATGGCCACACGGTGGCTCTGCCTCGGGGGGCGGGCGGCAGGGGGCGCAGCGCTTCGGACGTTGATCTCCTGGAAGTACATGTCCTTGCATCCGCCCAGCCTGCGCGCGTCGGCCTGCACACGAAGAAGCGTGCTAGCATCCCGTTCTCCCTTTGGGATTTGTATCAGGACGTGCCTGCCAGGCTTCATCAGGTCGAACCGCTGGCCATGAACATTTCGCAAGTGGGGGTCGCCAGTGGCAGAGCCACCCCCCGACCCTGGGCCCGCGACGGGAGGCGTCGGCACAGAGGTCGGCACAGGAGTGGGTGCTACAGTCGGCGCTGCGGTGACGTACACGACGATGATGGAGTCGATCGGGTAGTGGTTGGTCAGGGCGTTGTCCAACACAAGAACTCCACTGCTCGCCGACGACGACGTGGCGCGCGAGCTCCGGATCTCGATGATGACTCTCGTCTCGCGGTTGCCTCCGCCATCGATCGCGACGGTGTCACCTACCGCGAATCCTACCGTGGACTCCACAAGCACTTCTGTATCACCTCCTTCGACGCTGGAAACAATTCGAGTCGACACTGGAGCGACAGTCGGAGATGGAGTCGTCGGCGATTGTGTCAACGTGGGTGTCGGTGCCGGGGTAGTGACGCTGAAGCCGACGAACAGAGAGTCAGCACTTATGATGTGTTCAGACGTGTTGAAATTGGCGAGGTTCGGAAAAACGGAACTCAACCGGCCAACAGCGGCCCGCGACGACGGCGTTTGCCCGATCAACCACTGCGCAATCGGGACCATCACGCTCTCCCACGGATATTGTGGGACCAGCCTTCCACGTCCCACGTCCTGGAGGCTGCCTTCCAGCAAAGACTCGGGGAACGGATTGTAGATGCGGCCGCCGTTGATGCTGCCACCCAACACGAAATGGTTTCCCGCCCAACCGTGGTCCGTCCCCGCTCCGTTCGAGGTCAGGGTGCGGCCAAAGTCGGAGCTGGTCACCAGCACTACCGAGTCGAAGATGCCCTGTCCCCTTAGCTCGGCCACGAAGTCCTTCAGGGCATCGTTGAGCTCGGCGAAGTTTCCCTGGAGCACCTGGTCCAAAGTCGTGTGCGTATCGAAGCCGCCCTGCTCGACGAAGAAGAAATCGCGCTCCGCCCCGCGCTCTGTCCTCGTGGCAATGAGCCTGGCGACCTGGTGCAGCTGCCTGGCGATGGACGTGACGGTGCCGAAGGAGGTCGTAAGCTGTGCCGAATCGAGCAGCCCACCCAGCGTCTCGCTGGACCGTATCGCGACGGCGAGCTGCCGGGCGTACTCCTCGCTGTACACGTTGCCGTACGTGATGCCAGTGCTGTTCCCCACGATCGCCTGGAGCTCCTGGTAGCCCTGCAGGCGCACGGCGCCGTTCCTGCCGTCGATGATCTCCACGCCGATGCCCTGCCCCTGCGACCACGTGGACGAGCCCGCGAGCGAGAACGAGGTCGTGAAGTAGTCCTGGGCCGCCAGGACATCGGCCAGGCGCCCGCCAAAGCCCTTCGGGGACACGCCCTGCACCTGCGGGTGAACGAAAGGCGGCATAGAACATACCTTTGGGAGCTCCGCGCGGACTTCCGGGATCAGCGCTGGAGCGCGAAGGCGGCGCCGGAGGCGCCGCCAGAGGGGCCCCAGCGCGGATCCAAAAAACCGTCGTGGAGCTCCGAAAGTTTATGTTCATGGTGCTGTTTCTCCCATGACACCTGGCACTGCAGCGTCATCGCGCCGTTGGTCTGGTCGCTGTGCGAGAACAGCCCGGCGCACGTGGGCGCGGTCCGGTACTCCGCCTTCGTGGTGGGCTGCACCAGGCCGCCGACGTTGCTCACGAAGGCCAGCTGGCCCTGCGCGTAGAGGTCGCGGACGAAGGGGAGGGCGTGGTGGACGCCAAACGTGCTGCAATTCTGGGTGTCCGCGGAAATCTCCAGTAGTTGGCCCTGGGCCAGGGCGACGTTCTGCCGGACGGTTACGTACTCTTCGAAGAGGTCGGGGCATGTGGGCACAAGCAGGTTGAAGGAGTCCAGGCCCCCGCCGAACCATAGGAAGACCATGGCCTTGTAAGAGTCCGACTGCGAGGTCGGCTCCTCCTGCACCGAGGGGCGCTCGCCAGCGGGCTGGGGGTCGCCCTCGGTGTGAAACTCGGGCGACATGAGCACAGTACGCATGGCCGCCTTCAGGTGATCGCCATCGGCAGAAGCCTGGAGCGCTGCTTCGAAAGCACTCGTGTCCTTGATGCGCCCACCAGTCAGCAGCAAAGAAACCATGGTGAACGAGTCGTTTGCGTCGCTGTCATTGCTAGAAGCGTCGATGAGAAAATGTCCTGGGGGGGTGTTGCACGTTCGCTCCGGATACGAACCAATACCATACGAGCACCGAGTGAGTCCACCAGAGTTGACCAAAGCCAGCATGCCGTTGAGCCAGGTGAGCGCATACGGCGGCGTGAAAATCTCGAACTCGGGCGCAACCAAACCGTCGGGAAGGCCTGATGGCGAATATTCCACGCCGTAACCCGCCAACGTGCCATAGGCACTGAGTGGAGCGCCCTCAGATCAGTTTGAACTCCTTACATGGGATACTGAACAAGCTCCTCGAGGGGGCACAGGGCAGGTCATGGAGCCCTTTGGGAGGAGCCTTCTTGGGGGGCTCGTCGGCCGTCTCGGAGGCCAGGGGGACCAGCCGAATAGAACCAAAGCGTCGGCATCATGCTTTGAACAACCTTTCAGACAGTCGCCTTTTCTGCATGAAGATCGTCCAAGACTCGGGGAGCACAAAATACATATACATAAATTTTATAGGAAGTCCGCGCGGACTTCTCGGATCGGCGCTGGAGCCCGCTCGCGGCGCCTGCGGCGCTGCCCCTGGCGCCCCCCGCGCACCAGGGGTCCAGGGCCGATCGAAGGGATCCGCGCGGACCTCCGACAGTTGATGCTTATTTATGATGTCATGTGTTGTTCCTCGAAAGGCGGCCCAAGAGGACCACCGAAATGCGGCGAAACCGTCTCCGAGGTTCCAAAAGAAAGCCAAAGGGGCCACCAATAGAGTCCCAAGAGGGGCGCAACAGAGGAAGACGAGGTGACATGTCGAGCTATTCCCTTCAAGATGGCCCCCGAGACAATCAGCATATCCCCAATGTACCCCGAGGAAGCCCCCAAGAGTCAGCCAGAGACCACTAAGAGGCCCCACTATACCTCCAAGAGGCCTCCAAGAGGCTTCCAAGGTACCTCCCCCCAGGAGTCCCCCTGAGAGGCTCCTGAGAGGCCTCTAGTTTGTGATCCAGGTGTGTTGGCGGCGTGCGCCGAAGTTCGCCAGTGTCCACCTTCCTCTTATGACCTATGCACGGAGCGCCTGGCGTGCCAGACTTTGAGTGTGGTGTCCTCTTGTGGAGAAATCGCCCCCTGAAGTCTCGGCCGATCCCGCCGGCAATGGAGAAAACCTGGCCTCATCGGCCTCCCCCCCAAGCCTCAGTGGCCTACCCCCCGAAAGACGGCCCCGAGATGGCCTCCAAGACGGCCAAGATGGCCTCCAAGATGGCCGCGGTGGCCCAAGATGGCCTCCAAGACGATCCCAGGACGCCTCCGAGACGGCCCTACAGACAGACCAAGGTGCCCTCCAGAAGGCCCACGAGGCCACACGTCTGTCTCGGCGTTCCCGCGTCTGTTCCTCGAAACGGGACCTGCAATGCATTATGCCGCATCGTTTTGGCGATGGCTATAATGATGATGCTGGTCATGATGCTGCTGATGATGCTGACGGTGATGGTGGGAAGAGGAGGATGACGATTACACTAACGACAGAAAACAAACGTCTCTCTCTCTCTCTCTCTCTCGGTCGCTCTCTCTGTATCTCTACATCTCTCTCTCTCTTTCCCGCGTTTCCTCATCCCTCATTGTGTCGATCACTCGCCTCTCTATCGCTCCTGATGTATTGCGAGTGGCACATCTCAGTGTTCTATTCTGCGTAAGTCGTGTGTTCTGCATACTCCGCCTCGTCCCTTGGTATCTCGCCGAAAGGGAGGGGAGGGAGGGCGGTTGCTCCCTCTCTCTCTCTCTCTCTCCCGCACTCGCTCTGCATGCGCAAAATGGATGAAGGAAATTGTAAGGGCAGCGGTCGCTCTCTCTCTCTCTCTCTCTGTGGCTCTCCCTGTCTCACTTTGTACACAGCACAAGATGGGGCATTGGGAGGAGGCACTGGCACCCTTAAACCCTTCGCGCAAAATGCTCGGGAGGAAATCAGAAGGGTGTGCGTTTGTTTGTGTTGCCTCTCTCTCTCTATCTCTACCTTCCCCTCTCCTCGTCTCCACGCACACAATAAAGAGAGCTCGGAATGGACAAGGGATGATGGTTGCTCTTGTGCCTGCTCCGTCTATATCCCTGGATCTATATACATATATAACAGCGTACGTATCGCTCGACCGCAATCCAATTACAGGAGCATGTCAGTAAAATTAGAGACATACATGTCAAGCATAATGCTAAGTGCTCGTATACTGGAACCGTCTGTCTGGTCAAGTCTACGCTTACATATCCATGCAGCAATGTTTTTCCAGCGATTGGTATACCCATAACTACCAATAGGTTAATGCATATGTGCCTCGATCTACCCATAGATCCAGATGTCGATGTGTGTCGACAGGTGCATATAAATATACAGGTGTATCGATCCATGAATCTGACTGTGCACCATTCAATACATATATATATATATGTATATATATATGTATATATATATATATACACCACACCCCGCAGATGCGGATAAGAAAGAGGGGGCGGTGGGGACGCCAGCAGTCTGCGAGACTCTGGAGAAGCCCGCCGCAGGCGCCAAAGTTTCACGCGCCGGTTTTGTCGTTGAACCAATGAGGGTAGGTCGCGGGTGGCTCGCTGTTGGGTCGCTGTTGGGTCGCGGGTGGGTCGCGAATGGGTCGCTGTTGGGTCGCGGGGTGGGTCGCGGATGAGTCGCGGGGTAGGTCGCGGGTGGGTCGCGGGGTGGGTCGTGGGTGGCTCGCGGGTGGATCGCGGGTTGGTCGCAGGGTGGGTTGTGGGTTGGGTCGCGGGTTGGGTCGCGGGTGGGTCGCGGAGTGGGTCGCGGGGTGGGTCGCGGGGTGGGTCGCGGGGTGGGTCGCGGGGTGGGTCGCAAGGTGGGTCGCGGGGTGGGTCGCGGGGTGGGTCGCGGGGTGGGTCGCGGGTGGGTCGCGGGTGGGACGACGACAACAAACAACAACAACAACAACAACAACAACAACAACAACAGCAACAACAACAACAACAGCAACAACAACAACAACAACAACAACAACAACAACAACCACAACAACCACAACAACAACAACAACAACAACACCAACAAGAACAACAAGCAGTTTACCCGCATGCGCGATGTTTCCACACGAAGCATGCGATCATCATGATAATCATCCCCATCATGGGCGATCATTGTTCTACAGCGGGGTCCGTTATTTTCATTCTCAGATCTCCCGCCCTATGAGGTCTTGCAAACACCTCCTCCGAGGAATTCCAACAGATCCCGCCTCGAAAACGCATGCCCGCGCCTTGCTTCGTCGACGCGAGATCGCCAGGGGAGCCCCAACCAAGGGTAAAGCACAAGGAAGTATCGAGCGGCAGGATTGCCTTGGTGGGGATGGGGGCTGTCGGCGGCGAGGCAAGGACCTAGCCCTGAATAGAAAGGGAGGAAGCCTCGAGCGGGAGCATTGTTCTTGCTGGGACCGGCGCCAATGCTGAAGAGAGTAGGGCGCTAGTCCAGCCTAAAACATAACATAACGAAGTCTCGAGCGGGAACGCTGGTTTGGTTGGGACGGCGGTTGTCGGCGGCGAGGAGGAACACCGCCTTGAGTAAGAAGGGAGGACGTCTCGAGCGGGAGCCGTGGTTTTGTCGGGACGGGGGCTGTCGGCGGCGAGCAACAGCACCGTCCTGAAAAAAGTGAGGAAGTCTCGAGCGGGAGCGTTGTTCTTGCTGGGAGCGGCGCCAATTCAGAAGAGAGTATCCAGCGTAAAACAGGAAGAAGTCTCAGTCGGGAGCGCTGGTTGTGTCGGGACGGCGGTTTCCGGCGGCGAGGCGGGGCGCCGCCTTGAGTAAAAAAGGGAGGAAGTCTCGAGCGGGAGCATCATTCTTGCTGGGGGCGGCGCCGATGAGAGAAAAAGTAACGCGCCAGTCCAAGGTAAAACGGGAAGTCTCGAGCGGGAGCGTTGTTGTTGTTGGGGGGCCGGTTTTGGCGCCCCCCCAAACTGCTCGAGCATGAGCCTCATTTTCAATGAAAATGTAGCCGGCGCCGAGGCGAGAGCGTCAACGCGCCTGGGGGGGGACCAACAATAATAATGGTTTAGCAGTTGATAATCAACATCAGCAACAACAAAAGCAACAACACCAACAACAACAACGCAACAAGCAGAATCCTCACCACGGATCCCCACTTCAGCCACGCACCCAGAGACAATGAATGACCGCTCGGCCCCCTCACTCTGACATCCACCCGCCTATGCATCTTATTCCTATCCGCGAACCTCTCTATATGAACATCTAGTTATATTAGAACCATCTTGGAGTCGCTGGAAGAGTTTGGACAGCGCTGACATCAGCAGCAGCATCAACATCATTATCACAATGATCATCGCAATCAGCATCATACTCGTCCGTATCGTCTCAACCATGAGTCATTATCAAGGTCTTCACCATGAACATATTTGACGCATGATGTCCCGTCCTGGAGGCCTTGTGGAAACCGCATGGGAGCCCCTTGGAAGCCGTGTAGGGCTATCCGGAAGCCATATTGAGCTCTGGAGCGAAGGCAGTACCATCACCATAAGAATCAGCATCATATGCATCACCATCATCCATACCAGTATCATTATCCTGAGATGCATCATCACAATCATCACAATCACCATAGCTATCACCATTCTCACCATCATCACCATCGTCAGGTTAACCATCATAATCGTAATCATCCGCATGATCAGCACCCGCATCAACGTCATCGTAGCCCTCCTTATCATCGCAACAATGCGCATCAATATGGTCGTCCTGAACAGAAGTATTGATATCGTCGTCGTGCCGTCGACCCGATGTTCCCAGAGAGGCCTCTGGAAACATCAGGCCTGCTGCGTCTGAGGGGCTCGGGCGGGCTGTCGGGAGTGAACAGAAACATCAGGCCGGCTGCGTGTGGGGGGCCCGGACGGGCCGTCGGGAGTGAAGGTTGTTGGCCTCCTGGGGTCCTCGTGTTAGCAGAATGAAAACTGCTTAGGGGCGTGGTGGGGCCGTCATGGAGCCATCGGGGGCTGTCTGGGGCGGTCTGAAGGCCACCTGGGGGTCTTGGCGGACTCGAGGACCGTCCCAAAGTCATCTTCGGCCGACTCGCAGCCGTGGTGAAGGGTTTGGGGGCAACAGTCGACCAGCTTGCCTCTCTTGGGCTCCTCCACGGCCATTCTTGGACCATCCTGAGGCCTCAGCGGCCTCTCGTGAGCGGAAACGAAAGACCTTCAGGAACCTATGGTTGTCCTTGGGTTGGAAGCATCTTGGAAGGTTATTGCAACCTCCAGGGGCCGTCTTGGGGCCATCTGGAGCTGACTG